CTTCCACCTTTTTCAGTGCCCNCCTCACACCACTACATCTCTTATGCACCCATTTCTGACATCCTATACACAATACCGAGTTAGCCTTCACTCTCCTGTCACATACCCCACAGGGGTCTATTTTACTTATCACTCGCTCCCCACCTTCCCCACTCACCATTACCTTCGTCTTACCAATATTAACTTTTAATCCTTTCTTTTCAATAACACTTTTCCATCTGTCAAATTTTAACTGCAATTCTTTCATTCTATCAGCCATCAAGACTAAATCATCTGCATACAAAATCTCAAATAACAACCCCTCCATTATGTTTCCACACACAACATCCATCACAATTTCAAACAGAAACTGTGATAACACTGATCCTTGATGCACTCCTACCTTAACACTAAAAGCGTCCGACATCCCCCTTCCAACCCTCACCTTTGTCTTTTCCCCTTCATACAGCTGCATCACAGCTTTAACAAGTCTCTCATTCACTCCTTTCTTCCTCAACGCATATTCAATGACCTTCCTCGGTACTCGATCAAAAGCCTTTTCTAGATCCACAAAACACATGTACAATCTTCGTTTCTTCTTTCTATAATTCTCCTGCAACATTCTCACCATGAGCAACGCATCCACCGTTCCCCTACCAGGCATAAACCCACATTGCATTTCATTAACTGTCACCATATTTCTCAACCTCCTCTCAAGCACCCTCTCCACTACCTTCATTCCGTGCTCTAGCAATTTCACACCCCTATATGACCCACAATCTCTCACATCTCCTTTGCCCTTATACAACGGCACCAACACACTGTGACGCCAATCCTCAGGTATACCTTCATCATCAAACATGCTGTTAGCAATTCTCATCATAACTTCAATTCCTATCACCCCACTCGCTTTTATATGTTCTGCCGCCACTTCCGAAACCCCTGTCGCCTTACCTAGTTTCATTTCTCTAACTGCTTTCTCTACTTCCTCCATCGTCACCTTCTCTATAGGTCCGTGTGTGACCGCGGATTCCACATCTCCATCCCACTCATTCTCTTCATTCATCAACCTTTCCATATGAGCTTTCCACACCTGAGCTTTTTCCTCCTCATCTATGCACAACTTGTCAGATCCATCCCAAACACATCCATTCCCTATAATATCTTTCCTATCCCTCATTGACTGCTTTGCTACTTTGAACATTTTCCTCGAACTCACATCAAATTCCATTTCCTTCATTAACCTATCTGATGCTTTCGTTATTGCAGTTGCCACTGCCTGTTTTGCAACCTTCTTAGCCTTCCTATACTCAGACTCCGCTTCCTCCGTCATGTCCCTTCTCCATACCCTAAACCTCTCCTTTTTGACCTCCAAAACCCTTTTTATATCTTCATCCCACCACCACGTCTCACCATGCCTATACTTTCCTTTCGCCCATCCACATACTTTATCTGCCGTAGTCAACACACAGTCCCTGTATCTCTCCCAAACATCTCCATCCTTACCACTCTCCCAATTTTCAGCCACCTTCACTTCAAATGCCTTCTTCACCTCTGCATCCTGCAACTTCCATGTCTTTCTCTTTGCCCCAAACTTATCCTTCTTCCTCCTCCCCATTTCTTTTGATGTCACATCCATCACAACCATACTATGCTGCAGCATACCAGGTATCGCCTTCACATTCTTCACATACTTTCTATGTTTGGCCCTTACCAATATATAGTCTATCATTGACCTATGCTCCCCTGACCTATATGTAATCAATCGCGCTGGTTCCCTTGTAAACCAGGTATTCCCCACCACCATGCTATGTGCATCCGCCAACTCCAACACTCTACGCCCTTCCACAATATATGATGATGATCATGACTATGACAATCGCTTAAAGTATAAACGTTTGGGGTAAAAATTTGAAAGCAACGTGAATAAACACAAACGAAAGCGTTTCTTGCGAATGAAAATATTTATAAAATGAAAATAATTTTCTATTAAAAGAATCCTCAAATATTTGGAATGGTTTGAGAGAGGATGTTGTTAGTGTTGATATGAATATATTAAAACAGTAATTTTCTGATAAAATGAATGTTGAGTATAAGTACGATTGTATGGTGGGGTGGATCTGACATGAAGCGCGAACATGGGAGGAATCTTTGAACGGCTGAATGGCAAATATAATTAATGCACAAAGCGCTCGCCCATAAATCAACAAACCGTGATGTCACGTTTTACGATTTTTGAGTTAACATAATCAACGTTTTAGGATTTTTAATAGTAATTTGATATTTGTATGTACATGTTGGTTGTATTTTTAAAAATTGGGCATAGGGAGTTTGCTTTTTTGTTGCCTGTATTTTTCATAATAACAATAATAAATTAAAAAACAAAATTTTCAATTCATTAAATACTAAAGAGCGAGTTCAACTATTTTTTGTGTTTTGTCAAATGTTTTGTCGCTGAAACTTTAACTTTTCCTGGCATGTTCCTCGAGAGATCAGTGTCCTGAAATGAATAATATTTATGGTAATAATAACATAATAATAACAATAATAAACATTAACAACAGCAATAATAATAATTATTATTATTATTATCACCTTCACACTCTTCAAAAGATCCTTTTCCATCTTTGACGTTGCTTTGTCTTGCATGAACATCGCAATCGCCATCTTGGCAGCTGTGTGCATGAACATCATTTTATACAAAATATCCCTTGGTACAAAACATCATTTGATACAAAACATCATTTGATACAAAACATCATTTTATACAAAACATCATTTTATACAAAACATCATTCAATAAACATTACATTGATACAGTACAATACAGCTTAAGTTAGAAACGATCATATAACCTTTCCCTCGTTTTGTAGTTCCAGGTGTTAACTTGACTTTAAACCTTCAATGATTCACAGAATTTAATCATTAATCATTTAATTATTCAATTGTTTTGTATCAGCTACCATTGTAATGATCATTCCAGAGGCTTGAATTAATAACTGTCATTTACATACTTTTAAACATATTTACATATACACTGTGAACTATGAAACAACCACTGGTTAAAACAAAATTTCAGACATTGAGATAAAACTTTGAAGAAATAATAACGTGCCAATAAATCTTCCCCTGTCAACTACTCTACACTGCCTTTCATTAGATATTTGAAATTTGACTACGCCTTCTTTACCCAGAAAAGTTTTTTACAAATTTACTAAAAAGAAATACTATTTGAATTACACATTAAGTTATACCCACAACGTAAAAGGAGGGAGAAAATTTCAGTTTGTTAATTACTTATTCTATAAATCATCACCGTTTTTTGATCATCAAATTAGAAATATTACCGAAAGAGCCACAAAATATATTTAAAACGTCTCTAACGAGATATAAACAGATAATTAAATACCAACTTGTAGTTGGTGATGGCGTTGTATGGAGCACAGACAGGAAGACAATAGAGCAGGATGTCGTCGGCATGGGTCGTTCCAGTCAACGAATCCAACAAATTCAACTCCTGACCATTCGGGTTTTGTTGATTTGAATGAAAAAAACAACGATAAGGATAACTGTTGAATCTCGTTTCTCATAAGATTTGCGGATGCAATGACAGTTTGGAAAGCTTGAATAAAATATTTTCGGTGAATTGATGCATGCAGCTTTTCAAGGCAGGCTTTAAGGGTCGTAGGCCCAACAGGCAGCGGATAGTTTTGTTGAGGTTATAAATTGTTGCAATAAAATTTAAAGAATTTGCATGAAAAATAAAAAAACACTGGCTCCAATAAGAAAATCATGTACAAAACAGTAAAAATGTCGAGTATGCAAAAAATGAAAAAGGTCGACATTTCTTCTAAAAAGTCCAGGCCCCACAAACAATTTGCGGATCGGCCACTGTATTTCGCTAAAAATGAGTTAAAGGGAACAAAGTGAAATAATGCCTACTTGATTTAATTGTTTGATTTCCTCTTCCTGGTCCAAATCATCATCTTCATTTTGAATCAACTGCTTCTCTAAAGTTCATATGCATAAAAATAAATAACATCAAAATTAAACATGTTTGGTTATTAGAATTAATTATCATTGAAAAGAACTCAATTTTACTTATTTGTTTATTTATTTATAGCTATATTTACTTTTCTCACTACTATGTACGTACGAAAAATATATAAAAAAAAGTATAATTAACAATGAGCAAAAATGTAAAGATAAATTAAAATGAAATAAATTTATGAAAAGAAAGACGCGTAACCAACCATCCAACTTGAGAACACCAGCTTCCTGGCCTACCGGCACGCTAATCGTATTTTGTTCATTTTGTTCACTGGTGGTTAGGTGAGATGACGATGATGCCTGTACTTTGTTGGATGCTTTCTTCACATTTGCTGTTTGCGTATTTTTCTTCTGCTTCTTTTTTAATTTTTCTTCGTTTGGTCCCTTGCTAGACTGAATAGACAACGGACAACAACGTTATTGAATGTTAGAAATGTATGCAATGTAAATTTATTTAATTGATTGATTGATCGATTGATTGACCAATGCTATAACGTCTAATATTCAATAACGCTGGAGTAATTTCCTCTTTTCATAACGGACTGTTTAATTACATTCTCATTGGAGGTAGGAGAGGTCTAACTAATTTTCATAATTCTTCTCAAAAACCATCTCAGCAGCGTTAATCCTTTTTTTCCATTTCTTTAAAAATTGTCCGGAACTCAGAGCGTAAGTGAGCACAGGAAAAATGTAACTCCCTAACCCACTTTAAATTTGTTGATATTCTGATTTTACTGTTAGTGAGGATATTTTTCATTTTATGGTATGCATTTTTCGCCATGGCTATCTTCCCTTTGATATCCTCATCACATTTACAACTTGAGGTAATCAGATTTCCGAGATAATTGAGGCTGTTGACTTGTTTCACCTGTTTACCATCAATGATTATGGAGCAGATCGAGAGAATACACACACAGCCTTGCCTAACACATATCTTTATTTCGACAAAACTAGTTATTTAGTTACAAACTTTCATCGCTGCTCTTTAGTGCCAAGAAGGTTTTTGATAACTCCCGTGAACTAATATCAACATTTGTTGATCATTTCTTAGAACAATGCCCTGTCAGAGAGGTTAAATATTATGCTAAAAAATGAAATGAAATGTTGGATCCTCACCGCCAACAAAAACATCCTCATCTCTCTCTCCTCTTCATCCTGATCTCCATACTTCTTCTTCATCTTTTTTAATTTGCTCTGAGAAAAAATAAATTGAATGACAAAAAAATTTGTGAAACCGAAAAATGTAAAATATTGACAGCCGAATTGCAGAAAAATAATAATGAACACACAAAAAAATAGCATGCAAACTTGTGAAAGAAATAAAAATGAAATAAGAAAATGTTTTAATTTAAAAAAAAATGTTAAGATAAACAAAAAACCTTTTGCCCTCTTTTCAAAGGTCCCTGCTTATTAGCATTATTGTTAGGAGCATCGTTTGGTTGTGCTTGCTTGGGTTCGCCAGCTTCCTGCCGAAATTCAAACATGATTTTAATGCTACCTTATCATAGCAAAGGTTCAAACTTAATAACAAAATAATATCCCAAATAAACATACTGAAGATGCATTTGTGTGTGACTCTTTCTTCTTATCTCTAAAAATTAAAAAAAATTCATATTGTACATAGATATAATGAAAAGAAACAAATATAAATGTAGCATTATTGAATTAAATATTGTGAATGAACGATCAAAAAGTTGCTTCCAACAATTTTTATCACCACGAAATTGAGATTTAGTTAACGATGATGCTTCAAAGTTGAACAATCCCCTACATTTCACAGAACATTAGAATTTAACAAGACGTTACGCACCTTCTCTGTTTGGCACTTAGTTTTGCAGTTCTCTTCTGTTCCACATTCGAACTATTCAAGCGATCTCTGCAAAAAACAAACCACAAGGTAAGAGTCGTCATAACTTATTCATCAAATTATAAAATTAATCAAACTCTCTGTAACAGATGCTTCAACCAGCCATGCAATATTGTACAATGCAGAATATTACAATTTAAACCCGGTAGTAAAATAACTAACTGTTTATCAGCGTCATGAGCATCCAACTCATCTTCAAAATGGTATTTAATCTGCGTGTCAGGATATCCAATATCATCTACGTCTATGACATCTTTTCCATGTTCGTTTTTAACACAGGCAGTTTCATTTTTATTATCATCTTTGTCATCGTCATCTCTTTCTTCTTCATCGTCTTCCTCCTCTTCTTCATCTTCCTCATCATTTCCATCTACTTCTCCAGCAGGGCTTGCACTACCATAATCACCCTTCCTGTCATTCTCCTCAACGTTACCGCCTTCACCCCTATCTTCCTCATTTTTGTTATTGTTAACATCTTTCTCTTCATCCAGTTTCGTAGAGTTATCCTCATCAAGATGATGATGATGATCATCCTCATCATCATCATCGTCGTCATCATTTTCATCTAAAAGTTCGACATCCTCTGACGTAACAACTGACCCCTCTGCTGACTCATCCATTTGGCCTTTGACCCTTCTCTCATTCCTGTGTAGGTGCATGCACGATTCATCAACCTGCAATAAAATGTAACTATCAACATCCAATCAGGCCCTACAGTTTAGTACTGGATTGGTGAATGATCACAACTTTCAAGTTTTCCATTCGAAAACTTTTTAAATAATAAATCCAATAACCAGAATTTTTAAAAATTTTTAAACAAGGTACTCTTAAAGGTTAAAACATAAAATTGTGTGAAAGTTTAAACAAAAAAAGCAGGAAACCTTGAACAAAAATGCGAATCCATAAATAAGATTCGAGGGAGGAAGATAATTCTTTTTTCCTAGAAGATAAAACATAAAAATTTGGAAAAAACCTTCTCCTGTCAACCCTGACACTAAATTATATTCAAACTACTGTTGAAATGAGGTGCACACGTTAAATAGTTAATGAAAGAATCATAGTTCTAAACCAAATTTTTTAAAGTATGATAATGAATAACTTTTAATTAATAAAAGTTACTATGTAAAATCTGACACAGTGAACTTTTTGTATAAACATAAAACAAACAAAAACGAAAAAAGAGAAAGACAGACAGCGAGGGAGGGAGAGAAAAAAAGAAAGAAACCTCTGATCATGAAACTTCCAGTGGTGAGGTACTCGCCAGTGGGTGCTGTCTTGGAGACCTGGTGATGGTAAACCCACCAAGAGCTGGTCACCACTCGGGCTTCCCAGGCCACACTGTTGCAGAGAGCCATGCAGCCTGCTTCGTTTAATGTCACCGGCGGCACTGGTTCACCTTTAGTGTTGTTATTCAGTTGTTGAGATTTGGTTGTTATATGTTGTTGTTCAGTTGTTGAGATTTGGTTGTTATATGTTAATGAGATAGTTGTTGAGTCATTTTTAAAGATGTTTAGTTAGTCAGTAATATTAATTTTGAAATACTTGTAAGGTAAAATACATATAACGAAACTAAATTAAACAGCAGAATTATTGCCACCATTGCTATTATTTATTACCAAATTAACTAACCCTTGACAATGTATTCAATCAAACGACCAACATTAATTTATTAAATTGACCATTGATAATTTAGTAAATAAACTGACCAGTAGGATTTTTAATGATGACACTGCTTGCTCCATGCAGATCAGCATGAACGTATATGTCACCTGGTGGGCATTTTGTATGGTAAGATGATTAATAAACATCAAAAACAAACATTTTGTATGATAACGTGATTAATAAACGTCATGAATATTAATTTTGTATGATAACATGATTAATAAACATAACCTTATATTCATTTTGTGTGATAACATGATCAATAAACATCATGAATATTCATCTTGTATGATAACATAATTAATAAACATCATGGATATTCATTTTGTAAGGTAAGATGATTATTAAACATCACCTTATGGTCATTTTGTAAGACATTTTATTATACATCATTTGATGGGGTGATGATAACTGAACACGATTTTTACGATGATGAAGACAATGATATCAAAAGTCGATAGTGATGAAAAATTGATGATAATAATGATGATGTTGAAAGCGATGATTTTAAAGGACATACCAGATTTAAGGTACTTTTTGACAATGAACTCATTTTGTTGTTGGTCCCTACCTCCTATGACAACATAATTTTCAGAGCTTATGAACCAGAGAAACTTCTCAAACCTAAAGATAATCATTAAAAAAAACAATTTCAGCGTTTTAACATTATTTAGATGAAATGCGTTGAAAAAATATGCACTAAAATTACAAGCAAATCATAAAAAAATCGACCAATGTGTTTTTCTTGATTTGATGATGGTGGCCACTTTTTGCACTTCCTTCAATGTTTGCATCGTCTTTTTCTCTGCTGACTTGTAAGCCTGTGTAGTAATTTGTGGCTATTTGTGATCATTTGGGGTCATTTGTGATCATTTAATAAATTATAATTGTTTATTTAACAACATAATGACAACAAATTTCACAATAATAAATAGGTAGATCCTATAAAAAGTTCTAGGCGTTAGTTAGTTTGCAGAATATTCAAACATTCATCGGTCGCACGTTCATACGCAACGTGTGCTAATGTGTATATATATGATTAAATAACGAGTTTTAATTATATCCACCTCATTTCAAAAAATAACTACCTAGATTAACTGTATAAACGAATTCAAACGCTAAATTTTGATCTATTGATACGATGTGATCAAACATTCGGAAGTGTCCCAAATTTCAAACCAGCTTGGAATTAAGTGACTTAAAATTGCTTTCAAATATAAAATGACATTTACATTATTTTTATTTGTAACTCATTTAAACAGGTTAGAAATAAATAAACCAAAATTAATAATGAATGAATTGATGAACGAATGAACTGATGAATAGATGAATGAAATGAATAAATAAATAAAAAACCTTTGTTGAAGCATCCAGTGTCTTGAGCTCCTTCAAAGCAGCTTGTCGTTTCATATCAAAGTATCTGAATATACAATGAGCAAAATATTCAAATGTGTTGTTGATCCATTTACTAATTCAGCAACGTAAGAGCATTCAATGTTACTAAAGTGTAAATCTTAAGTTGTAGATGAAAAAAAATCTTTTTGATGTTTAAAGCAATAAAATAGTAATGAGAAAAAAAATTTAAAATATTAACAGCTGAAATCTCAACAGACCAATTTAAAACATTTGAAACAACTACGACCAAATGAAACGACTAAATGAAAGAGATGATATTGGTTGGGAGAGAGGAAAAGCATCACAAACAAAAAATTGAATTAACGAATCAAGTATCAATCAACCAACCAACAACCAACGTACCAACCAATCAACTAGCAAACCAACCAGCCAATCAATCAATCAAGTAATCAATCAAGTAATCAATCAATCAATCAATCAACCAATCAAATCGAACAAGCACACCTGCGAGCATTAGCATAAGCAGACCAGTTCAAATCAATGTCGATTTTCATTGGTTTCAAAGCGAGGTCATCTTCAGTTACATTTGATAAATAGGAGTTCATGTCAACATCTTCATCAACGTCACCATCCTCATTCATGTGCTGGGGAGGCCTAAGGTGAAACAAATATCATTTATTCATTCATTTATACATTCATTCATACATTTATTCATTCATTCATTCATTCATTCCTTAACAGTTAATTAATTTATTAATTATTATTATTAATTCATATAGTCATTTATTCAGACACTCAGGCTTTATGAAAACATTTTAAATATTCAATAACTACAAAAAGAATTAAAAGTAAAACTCCTCTTCTAAATCTATACAAAAAAATTAATGCAATTGCAATTTTTTCAGCGAAGTGGATATTTAGTAAAATGAAGAAACTTGAGAAGCACAGTGATGTGGTTGATTCGTCATCGTTAAAGAAAAATATCAAAAGTGTAAAAAACAGATAATAAGTAGAAAAATGACGTGACTTGAGAAGCATGGTGATGTGGTTGACGTCCAGTTTGAGGGCCTTGATGGAAGCGAGGACTTGATTATCAGTGGCCGCCTCTTCCACCATTTGTGTCAGGGTTGTCCAATCGACTTGCTGGGCGAGGGCATGACGAATTAATGTTATGGCCTGGTCTACCTGTTGGCGATGGTGTCACTATTGTGGTTGCTGAAGTCTCGTTGGTTCAGGTTATGTAGAGAGTAATTTACAAGTTGAATCAATTTCAATGTATCCCATTATCATTAAAAGTTGTTTAAAAACCGAAAATATAAGCAACCAACTCGAAAGTGTAGCACACAAACTTTTGGAAATAAAACCTCAATATAAAATTATAAAATAGTATAAGAACCGAAATTATGAACCATAATTTCAAAATAATTCTTTTTCTACAAAAATCATAAATAGATCTTCCAAGCAATATAGAAAAAATTGAACAAATAATATAAAAAAAACGTTGAACAAATAATTAGCGTTTAAACAAAGAGGTGAATGATTGAAGATAAAGAACCAGATGACCATTGGCAGGTTGAGTTGGATGAGTCGAGCTCTCCTCATGTCTTCCATCTGTTCCTCCTTCAATCCTTGCACTCTGCTCACGTGATCAGATTTTATATGCTCCAATTTCTTCAACGCTGTGTTCTCCTGTCAATGCAAACATTTCAACATTTTTGGATAATTAACGACTTACAAGATGTACTTTGTCTCTTGATGTTTTTAAGGAAAATCTTTGCAAAGAATTTAACCATCGTAAAATTATTTATTCGTTCATTGTTATTTAATATTTTATTAATTATTCATTTATTCAATAATAAATATTCATAATTATTTGATCACCTGTTGCAGCAGTTTTCTATCTTGCTTTTGAGTTTCAAGTTTTGAAAAAAATTCATCAATGGCCTTTACAAAAAAGTTCAATGTTCCAAATTTTAAAAACAATGAACACAGAAATATAACTTCAGCCATTTACTGTATTTAAAAACAAAAACAGATGAAAGCAGCACCTGATCAAAAGTTTGGAATTCTATGAATGATTTGTCTTTGTGCTGGTTGAATAAAACTGGATGAAACTCTGAATATCTGACGGATGTAAAGTATATTGTGGTAATTGAAAGATAACAAACTTACAAGCAAAATTGACAAAATATTTAAAGTAGTCAAAAAAATACTTGATTTAAAAATTAACAACGGATAAGTACGAACAATAGGAAACAATGGCTAAATGAACTAACATAACAACGTGATCGTCTTCATCTTTTTTGAACGTTTTCTCTTCCTTCGTGGTAATTATGTAGCCTTTCCTCTTTAATGAAAATGATATTTAACGACGAATGTTTTATTAACACATTGCTGCTAGAGTTCGGCGAGTAGTCATTGATTATGAAATGTGAAATATATTGAATCAGATGGAGATAGATAATTAGAAAAAAAACAGAACCAGTAAAAAAGGTTAACAAACTTGTGAGTTTGTGCACGGTTGATTAACCATAGTATCAGCTTTTGTTAAAGCATCCATCAGCAGACCAACATCTGACGTCATTTAACAATAACGAAAAATAGATGGAAAAAAAACAAAGAAACATTGAATAATAATTTAAAAATTTAAATATGTAAATCAGTTTCTGTATGATAATATTTGATAGAAGACCATTCTCAACGTGGAATTCATGTCCCAATTTTGCATTTGGTGGTATGCCAACGTCAAGTAGACAATGTTCAATTATGTGCCCTCCATACACTGTGTGGTTGGTGTGTGATGTAAAAGTTTTAAATGTATTTTAGAAGAATATTTCATTGTCTAAATTTTATTTTCATAAGAAAAGCCAAAGCTGAAAATTGTTACGAGATGGTGTACCAGTGTGTGGATTCAATATTTTCTTCAAATTGTCACCCATCTTTGAATTTGACAGAATAGCTTGCAGTCTGTTAAATGGTAAAAGTTAAGACATTCAAAAACGGTTAGAACTTAAAGAAACAAAACTAGTACAAATAATTTCATGATAAAGGTTGAAGATGATTGAAGGACAAGTGAATGGTAAATAATGAAATAGATATAAAAATATGAATGGGTACTTTTCCAGAGTGACAGGTTCTTGCTGTTGCTTGGCGAGTTGTAATGGATACTTCTCTCTGACAACAAACTTGACATCCTGGCTGTTGTCCGTACGAGGTCTTTGTATGTTCAGTATGTTGTATTCAAAGTCCGTCAACACTATGTTACCCTGCATGTTGAAAAACAACGCTAATGAAATTTAGGTACTTAATAAAAATATTTAGACATGTACAATCAACTTTGTACAGTTATAAGGATTCTACCTAATGCATTAACATTGAACACACAAAAAGACATGAACAACACATTTTCTCTTACTCTATCATACATTTCCAGGATAATGTGATAAGCGGCTTCTCCGGAGCCAAACTGCATGTCAACAATCCTATCAACTCCAAGCTGCTTAACAAACTCCAATCTACGACCTTTTAAGTGTTTTCGCATCTTTCAAACAAAATTCAGTGTTATCAGTACATTTGTTTGAATTTTAATTGAACAAGCAAGTATGTGAATGAAAAATTATCAAAAAGATTTACTTTCATGGCAAAACCAGATGGCATGATGTTTTTTGGCCACTCAAAATCTGTGCAATGCAGCCTGATGCCAGATTCAAGCAGCAAAACTGCCTTCTCATCAGTTCTGCAATTCATTTCAACCATAACTTAAAATAAATCAATTTCATCTGTTTCAATTTGTAAACATATATGCTTCCTAATAAGCAATATAATGACAGTCTGAACAAACTGTTCATATTACATCATGTTATAGACTAAAATCTTTCAACGATATTCAAATGATGAAATCTTGCATACTATCAAGTTAAAAACTAAATAAACATAAACCATGAGTTTTGAAAAAATAAAAGAATACACACACACTTACACACATACACCATCACCATTATCATCATTTTTTTATTTAATGTAAGCTCTTTAATTTTCAACCAACACTTTCAATGACTTAGGCAGATTAGTCCATGCAACTGATCTCAAAACTGTAACATACATTGATGTCATCCAGAATAAGGCAGACATCTGGTACAACCAGTCGAACATTATCATTTAATTCTCACCACTTAACATTACTTATCCTTCTTATTTTTTGCTTGTTTAACATTCATACACAATCACACATACCCACGCCAATCTACCCCCATTCACACATGCAATATATATATATATATATATATAATGTATTTTTGGGGGGTTTAGACTATCATAAATACAATTATTTATAAAGATCATTTCGTTTTCGGCATTATTCAACTTGTAGTTAAATAATGCCAAAAATGCAGTGATCTTTATAAATAATTGTATATATATAATATATATATTATACAATATATATGAATATAAATCTGTTATTGGATTAAATTAAAATGTTAACTTACTTGTTCAATTTGATGAGGAATGTTTTTGAGTCCACATCATAAACATTATTCACTCTCATACCAGCCAGCCTGTGTTGGATATGTAATCAACAAATAAAATTAAACCAGTGCATAAAAAAACTTTTCTTGTTGTTTTCTAACTGAACAATAAAGTCTAAAATAAATATATCATAAATGTGAAAGTTGTATGTATTGCATTCTACTATTGTATATGTTATAAAATCAACAACAGTAAAAACATGAAAATTTTTAAATGAATTTATTTAATTAAAATAAATAATAAATAATTGAATACAGAATCCGATCACTTCTCATGTTCATGCTTACTTATTTGAAAGCTCATCCACCAACACCTTGATATCAAAAGTTGTAAACTTCAACTTCATCACTGCAATTTGTCTTGTTTGTTTTGTTTGTTTGGATTTGGCTTAGCTTTGGGTTTGGACACTTTGATTTATTTATATTGATACAATATTACAATCTGTATATTTTAATTAAATTAAAAAGAAATTAATATTAAATTAAAAAATTTTGATTAAAACTTAATTAACTAGAATAGCATAAAAATAACTTTAAGAGTTAAACCCGACTCTAATCCAGCAAAAACTGTGCTACTTTAATTTTTAACACCACGACTTCTATCTGCCAGCATTTTATTTATCTACAAAAGTTTTTTTTCGTGACGATTGTGCAATCTCAGTTGCAGGCCATGGAATGCCGTCCGTGCTTTTCTTCACATTTTATTCTGGGGTTCTCATCACTTGTTTTGTAATATTATGTGTCAAAGGTTAATTTCGTTTCTGCATTTTTGTTTGTAATTCATTCAATATTTTAGTTTATATCATTTATATAACCATACACATATAAATAATTACATAAAAACAAAGCATGTTAGCCTGTAATCGAGATACCTGAAAGTCTACTCTATAACATTTGCAGCATTTGCTGACTTTTTAGAAACCATTAAATAGAAATGAGTCGAAATAAAAAGAGAATTGTTTTGTATTTTCATATTCATATTGTCAAAAAAAATTTTTTACAAAACGCCTCAAGTTTTCAATCTAGTGGACTCACATCGACCAACATATGAAGGACCTATGACACCATATGAAGGACCCACGATGTACTGGGACGCCAATCTAAATATTTTGTTGTAAACAAAATGAGTCAAAAATAAACAATATTTAAAGATCGTCTCAAACCGGTGTAGACACCATCATATTCACAGATACCCTACCCGATACCAATAGCTACAACTTTATTCTTCTAAATTTGAATTAATTTTTAATAAATTTAAAAGCTCTATTACTATTCTTTCTATAATCTTACCTGATTGTAGAAGAATAAACTGCAAATAAATGTTTAGATGGTAACGTATTGTATCTTTACCATCCTTGAATCTACCTTGAAACTACCTACCTTGAATCGTAACCACAGTGCAAAAAGCAGACCTTAGACATCAATTCACGCCATTACAACTAGTGTGTCTACGAACAAACATATATAGAAACTACATTTGCATATACACTTGAACATACAAACGTTGTTGCATAATATTCACATTTTTTTAAATAATTAATACTGAATAATTAAACTCGTTAATTGTAAGTTATTTGCTAATTAACATTCCAGTCCACAAATAGTTTGCAAGACAAAAATATCGATGGTGCGGTCCAGCTTTTTGTTGAATTAGCATCATAGTGTATAATATCTAAGGCTAAGCGAAGTGACTTTTACTCTAAACATTTAAGTTAAATTTAATAGCGCACACAAGTTTAAAATAACAAAAAAAAGAGGATCAAAGAAGAACAAGCAAATGCAATTACAAATACGTCGGTGGTTGGTAGCTATATTATAATACACTTAAACGCCGAAAATGAAGACGTTGACACATGAAAATATAAATAAACCTACAAAACACCATGCAGGTTACTTACACCGGCTAATCTGCATATGAAGATAGTGCCACTGATAATAATTTTCTAGACCCTCCCACAGCTACAAGTTCAACGTGACATAACTCTTATAATGTTCGACTAGCCTGTTTTATTTTTATTTTTGTCATACAAGGCAGAAAAAAATGTTATTCAGCATCTGCCGGCTGACATATCAATGAACTTTCTGCCTGTTATATTATAAAATAAAAGAAATATTTGAAATAATGTTTCGCATGCAAAAACTGACGCATGGGCAGATCTTTAGTTGACCTAGAAAGTAAGAGGTGGCTAAAGTTCGTGTCTTTTTTTTTGCGTGTTTGAAAATTTTTCCAAGGTGTTCATAAAATCTGTTTTTATAAAATCTGTTCTGTGTTTCAGAGCTTTTATCATAAATTAATAAATAGTTATTTTAAAATATCTTTTTCTCATTGGAATGCAAATTGGTGCGTGCAAAAAATAAATTAAGCGATACATACACATACATTTGACTATCTAGATCTCCTCTGTACTCTACTTCAACTACGACTACTAGTCTTGCCTTCGCGATACGCAACATTTAATCATTTATTTTATACTATAGTTGTTGTTGGGGACCAAATAAGGATACATCTTTTTGAGATTCTGGAAAGTGCGAAAGTGATATGGTATCATCTTCAATTCGGAATCATCTTCAATTTGGGACACATCTGTGTGACTGATGATCGCATAGAAAAAAATTAAAAAAAGAAAAAGGTATTTATTTGTTTTTAATTACTTATCATTTTTTTTATGGTGTTATGAGTTTAAACTTTAATTATTTAATAATATTAATTCATTTTATAATCTTTTTAATTTTATCTTTAGTAACTAATATAAATGAAAATAACAATAATTTTCATTTTTAAATAAATGTGAATATAAAAATTTAATTTTTTAGTATTAACATTTTTAATGCAGTGTGATTTTTAATTAAATTTCACAATTGCTGCACTGACTGATAGGTGATGAGTGGTACACATTTCAAATATCCACCCTACTGGAAACTCTAGAATAACCTATTGTGTCAGTGATGATTGAGTATGTGTTTGATGTTAGTTTTTTTTAAGCCACTCTCAGCCGCAATATATATTATTTTTTTACTTTAAACTTTTAAAGAACATAAGGCTTGCCAATAATAACTTTTTGAATTTAATGATAATTAAGTTACTGATTTTTTTCATAAATAAGCTGTTATAAAAATGTAAAATGGGTGAGGTGAAGGTGCTTGATTCAAAATTTTTTTCTAAAACTTAGCCTGCATTATGTTTTATCTATCTAGATTCTAGTTACTAGTATTTATAATATATATTTTATTTTTTTTATATTATGTAAAATAGAGTTTAAACTTTCAAGTTGTATAATTATGTTGTAGTATGCTCAAACAAACAATCAAAAGAATTTGGATAAATTATTTTAATGCATTCACCATATCATCTGCTTTTCCATAGGGATGACAAGCTTTAACAACTGAATCTTTATTTTCTGACCCATCCAGATGACTTTAGCTTTTTTATCAATTCGCTTTTCTTGATAAATCTACATTATGTCATCAGCTGTAATTAATATTGAGTCTTTTTCATTGTATTCTGAATTATTATTATGAACATTTGATTGACTCAGCTTGTGTATTTATATGCTTCATCTCTAGCATGAGATAGATTGGAATATTTTAGCACTTGAACAAGGTTCAGGACCAAAGGATCATTAAGCCATCAGGCAGCATCATTAAAAAGCCTTCTGGTTTCAGGTTTTTTACCATCAATATCTAAAAATATCTCTTTCCAGTTGATATTGGATCTTTTACTTTTGCTCAACTCTTCAACTCTTAATGTGTTTCAAATTTGAATACCTCACGTTATTGTTGTTGCCCTGTTGCAAACCTCATGTCCAAACTTTTCTGCATATTGAAACTTTGTCTGCCAGCTTGTCTACATCATATCATTTACATCTGCCATTTACTGTCACCTCCCGTCATCTATCACTCAATACTAAAGTCATTCTTCAAAGTAAACTCAAGTTTTTTATAGACTTCCTTTTTTCATTTGTTTTTGAATTTTTGCTATTTCTGGTTTATTTCAATCCTCTACAAACTCTACAAGAGTTTTGTATAAATGCAGCACACAAAATTCATCATTTTTGCTGTTTAATTTGCTGATAAATTGCATCATGTCCTGTAAGCAAAGTAAAGCAATTAGAAATTTTTAAAGTTTTCAGTTGGAAAATGATGCCAATATTTTTCTTTTTGATAATGAGCTTTTAGGTTATAAGGCATATATATAAGATCTGCAACTACACAATTTTAGAATAGTTCTTCGAATTATTTTTTATAGTTTGTAATTTATGTTATATTCTGTAATTTATAATTTTCAGCTTTTGTTTAATTTTTGTCTTTATTTGCCAGTTGTGATGATGTAATTTGTATTTGATCAAAGTTTCAGTCTTGACAACAGTACATATCTTAAGCCCATAATTAATCTACTGATCACTTCAATGATGCTTTCATGTTTTATATTGTTAACTAGATATAGTTACAAAATGTTAAGCTAGCTGTCTGGGTTAATTGAAGAGTTTTAATTATTTGGTACTTAGTGCAATTGTTACAAGTTTAGTGTATTGGCTGGGAAAGGTTTTAATGAGAGAACTCTAGTAATTTTTTTTATTGATTTAAAATAAATTAGACTGGGCTCATTGCCCTTTAATTTATTTTAGGCAGTTAATATTTTTGTGATTTGTTTATTGATTTTTTCTGCAAATTTATTTTATGTTGATTATTGTTAGCATTAATTTGGCTCATAAATAACAAAAATTTCAAATGTATTCAAGGTTTTATTGCTGTTACAACAACAACAACACACGTTTAGACGTCATTTTCCCCGAGATTGGGGGTTGCCGTTTGGCTACCTATGATGAAACCGAAATATCCCTCGACGCCATCCACATCTGTCACTCGCCTCAGTATCACGCAACCCCGCCTTCACCCTGTCCTTCTCCACCTGCTCTCTCCATCCCAATCGCGGACGACCCCTTCCTACCACTCCTTCAACCTCGAACTCCAATACTCGCCTAATCCCGATCCTTTCATCCCTTCTCAACACATGCCCATACCACCGCAATCTCAATCTCCTTATCAATGTCACAATGTCCTCATTCAGTCCCATCATTGACATCAGCTCTGTACTACTCCTCCTATCTTTCACTTTAACCCCACACATCATCCTCACCATAGCTCTTTCAGCCCTCTGCAGTACACTTTCCTCCTCTCTCCTCAATACCCAAGTTTCACCACCATATACCATCGCTGCTCTCACACATGCTTTATATACCCTCCCTTTCATCTTCACTGACCATTTCTTTCCACACAATACCCCACCCAGTTCCCTAAATTTCATCCATCCTACACGAACTCTAGCCGTAACTGCACTCAAACATCCTCCATCCGCGTTTTGCTTATCCCCTTAGTAAACAAAGCTTTCCACCCTGTCACATACCCCACAGGGGTCTATTTTACTTATCACTCGCTCCCCACCTTCCCCACTCACCATTACCTTCGTCTTACCAATATTAACTTTTAATCCTTTCTTTTCAATAACACTTTTCCATCTGTCAAATTTTAACTGCAATTCTTTCATTCTATCAGCCATCAAGACTAAATCATCTGCATACAAAATCTCAAATAACAACCCCTCCATTATGTTTCCACACACAACATCTATCACAATTTCAAACAGAAACGGTGATAACACTGATCCTTGATGCACTCCTACCTTAACACTAAAAGCGTCCGACATCCCCCTTCCAACCCTCACCTTTGTCTTTTCCCCTTCATACAGCTGCATCACAGCTTTAACAAATCTCTCATTCACTCCTTTCTTCCTCAACGCATATTCAATGACCTGCCTCGGTACTCGATCAAAAGCCTTTTCTAGATCCACAAAACACATGTACAATCTTCGTTTCTTCTTTCTATAATTCTCCTGCAACATTCTCACCATGAACAACGCATCCACCGTTCCCCTACCAGGCATAAACCCACATTGCATTTCATTAACTGTCACCATATTTCTCAACCTCCTCTCAAGCACCCTCTCCACTACCTTCATTCCGTGCTCTAGCAATTTCACACCCCTATATGACTCACAATCTCTCACATCTCCTTTGCCCTTATACAACGGCACCAACACACTGTGTCGCCTATCCTCAGGTATACCTTCATCATCAAACATGCTGTTAGCAATTCTCATCATAACTTCAATTCCTATCACCCCACTCGCTTTTATATGTTCTGCCGCCACTTCCGAAACCCCTGTCGCCTTACCTAGTTTCATTTCTCTAACTGCTTTCTCTACTTCCTCCATCGTCACCTTCTCTATAGGTCCGTGTGTGACCGCGGATTCCACATCTCCATCCCACTCATTCTCTTCATTCATCAACCTTTCCATATGAGCTTTCCACACCTGAGCTTTTTCCTCCTCATCTTTGCACAACTTGTCAGATCCATCCCAAACACATCCATTCCCTATAATATCTTTCCTATCCCTCATTGACTGCTTTGCTACTTTGAACATTTTCCTCGAACTCACATCAAATTCCATTTCCTTCATTAACCTATCTGATGCTTTGGTTATTGCAGTTGCCACTGCCTGTTTTGCAACCTTCTTAGCCTTCCTATACTCAGACTCCGCTTCTTCCGTCATGTCCCTTTTCCATACCCTAAACCTCTCCTTTTTGACCTCCAAAACCCTTCTTATATCTTCATCCCACCACCACGTCTCACCATGCCTACACTTTCCTTTCGTCCATCCACATACTTTATTCAGCTACCTTTACTTCAAATGCCTTCCTCACCTCTGCATCCTGCAACTTCCATGTCTTTTTCTTTACCACAAATTTATCCTTTTTCCTCCTCCCCACTTCTTTTGATGTCACATCCATCACAACCATACTATGCTGCAGCATACCAGATATCACCTTCACATTCTTCACATACTTTCTATGTTTGGCCCTTACCAATATACAGTCTATTACTGGCCTATGCTCCCCTGACCTATATGTAATCAATCGCGCTGGTTCCCTTGTAAACCAGGTATTCCCCACCACCATGCTATGTGCATCCGCCAACTCCAACACTCTACGCCCTTCCTCATTCCGTATACCATATCTCCACCCCCCATGTACACCTTCATATCCGTCTGCATCCGCCCCCACATGACCATTCAAATCACCCAACAACACCACAAACTCATCCAACCCCGCTTGCCCAATCTCGTCAGAAACATCATCATAAAACCTATCCTTCTCCTTTTCCTTCCTACTTTGTTGCGGAGCATATCCTGATATCACCCTCACTATTACTTTTCCAAACACCATCACCACCACAATTACACCATTGCTTCTCCGCCTCACTTCCAACACCTTCTCCACCAACTCTTCTCTTACCATCACACCAACTCCTCCCGTACCATCATTCCCCTTCCACCACAACTTATATCTTCCACCTTTAGCCCCCACAAATCTTGTACCCTCACCCTTCCATCTGATCTCCTGTAATGCAGCCACGTCAACCATTCTCCTCTGCAGCTCCTCCACCACTTCCAAACTTCTTCCTGTTAACGTGCCTACATTCCAGGTACCAAACCTCCAACCCCTTGGTCTACAAGTAGTCCTTCCATCTATAGTGCCACACTATAGAGTGGGGTGTCAGTAGCCAGACCATCCACAGGGCCTTGCACCACAACCCCATGGACTGGGTCTCCGGAGATTCTTCGCACCCTCTTTTGCCGGATACTGAGGGCCATTGTTATTTCCGTCATCATAAGTATTATTTTTTGGCTAGTTTTTACGCAGGACGCCCTTCCTTACGCAACCACAGTTATAAGCGGTGGGCCTAGCTTTTGATGATCCAAACAGATAGGCATGTGTGTGTGTTTTTAGTTGTTTTATTGCTGTTAATAAATTTTAATCTCATGCACTTAGTGCACAATACAACTGTCTTTCACTATTTCATTACATTTTGCATTTATCACCTATCAGATAAATTTTGGAAGTTGTTAATATGCCCTATTTAAAGTTTGTTGCATAGCTCATATCTTAACCAAATAATCAGGTCAGCAGGTAATTGATCTTGAAATTATGACGTGATGAGAGAGCACATGTAAAAGTTATTCACCTTCCCCACAGATAGGCATGTGTGTTTGTACTATGCTTGCATGCGTGTTTGCTTGTACTGCTAAATGATTTTAAATGTTTGCTTTAGTTTGATTTGTGGGAATGTTGCAATGACCTCATGTTCCCTCATTTTTTTCTCCCTTTTTTCTTTTATTTCCTCGCTCTTTTTCTCTCTTCTCTTTTTTTCTCACATTCTTTCTCCTCCCTCCCGTTATGTGTGTTTTTTTTCTTATGCATGTATAAAATATATGTCTTGAGATGCATGTTCATATCTCATATGTCTTGTATATAATTTGCCTTAGCATAAATTTGGCTCATAAATAACAAATATATATATATATATATATATATATATATATATATATATATATATATATATATATATATATTGGAAAATATATATATGTATATATATATACAATTAACACGCTTTATTTTTAATTTGTACAGTCATTTAGCTGTATGGTTAATGTACCTGAATTTATTTTTAAACATTTTATTTAAATAGTATGATGAAAAAGAAGAAAGGGTTCAGTTTTCCAATGTGATCTTATAACAATTTCAAATGCTTCTACTATTTTTTCAAAATCTGAACTAAGATGAAATAAAAAAATGGTTACAAACAGCCAGTTAATCCAAAGCAGAGATGAATGTTTTTTAATAAAACATTTGTAAGTCATGTTAGCATGAACATGCTTGTGACTAACACTTTTTGAACTTTGTCTCTCTTTAATCTCTGTATATGACTTATAAACTTAAAATTTTTAGCTAATGTTTCTTTGATTTATAACCAGATAATTTTACATATTTCCTTCACAGACGTAGCTTAATTTATTTCATCCTTTTAAAAAATAAATAATGATTCATTTATTGCAAGTTCTGTGTTAATTTGAATAAAAAATTTTTTATTTTTTAATTGGATCCTTAAGTATTAACTTGGCTCATTAATTTTTGAACATTCAACAGATTTATCCTGTGAAAGAAATAGTTTCTGTTATGGAAAATGAGTAACAACATTACCACCAGCAACAACAATAATGACAACGAAGATTCAACGTGTTGTCAAGTGTGTACAGACCCTGCTGCAGCTTTTTACTGTGGAGCACAAGTTTGCGAAGCCTGCAAGGTGTGCTACGCTGCTGTGTTTCATATCTCTTTTTAACGTTGTTATATTTTCATTCAATTTTGTTATTTATTAAAAACTAAACTGACACTGAAATGGAGTAAGTGACCAGGTGGGGGTCCTTAAATATTCTGTTGGCAGATGTTCTTGATAATGTAGCATCATGCATAAATACATTTAGATTGCTTGGTATTAGTTCTTTACTCAATATAGAAAGAAATTAAAGGGTTGTTTTATGTTTATTTTTGCAGGTTTTATTGTTTAAATTTTGAAAAATATACTTTGAACTTACATCATGCTAAGCTTATTTTTGGCAGTTTCACTTTTTTTGACTACTTGCCAATAAAATTTAGCAAACATGAACTGATAGTCAGAGATAAGAGTGCCATTTATAACTGTAGTAGATGTGTGTCAATATGTGCATGTTTATAGTACACGAAAAAACATATGTTTTTAGCGTTTATAAATGTTTATAAATGGCACTCTAAGATGTTAAGCATCTTAGAGTGTTTACGGCAGTCCAGCTGAATTTTTTTACGAGAAAGTCTAAAAAATCAACTGACATTTTAATTGGCGTTGTCTCAAACTAATTTTTTTCAAAAAATTTGCAAACATTCAAATAAATGTTTTTTGGAATGATAATAATTTATCTTAATTATGGAATGAAGTAATGATGATCAATGCTGTTATTGTTATTATTATCATGAGAGATTTTAATGGAAAAAGACAAAATTTTCATTGTCAGAAAATGTTGAACATACTCTTACATGAGCCATCAAATAGAAGAATAAATTTTAAATGTTTGAATTAAAAATTTGATATGTAGCAATTTATTTTATCAGCGTGACAAAGGCGTCTATTATTGAAAATGTTGAATAACAGGGATTCATTGTTAGTAAATTCATAGTTTGTGAAATGTGATGGTTAAATTTCTTGATTCAAATGTATAATTTCAAATGATCTAGTCATATGTGCATTTACTAGTAGTACGCTGTACACTGTTTATTAAACTGATCAGGATGATTTATATTTTGAACAATTTTTCAGTTTTTAAATTTGAAGCGTCATTATATGCTTCAGCGCCTCTAAAATTTTTTGTAAAACTTATTTTCATTAGAAAATGTAATTGGGGCATAGTTATTTAACTACTAAATTAATGTTGGCTAGGCTTGTTTTTATAATCTTTCATCATAGTTTTCGTAGGAAGCAATAAAAATTTTATTTGTTTGTGTCTGTGAAAAAAAAGACTTATGTTTAAAATAGTAATCTTCAAACAGCTAATTTGGAATTTGCATTTTTTGTTGAAATTTGTTGTCTGTAACACAAAGACAACTGAAAACTATAACTTTTTTTGATGCATCACTTGCCTAATTACAATGTTTACCTGTACATTTAAACATGTATTTCCATAAATTTAATCACATCCTTTGTATTATTGTATCAACTATGTTATTTTAAACTTCTGAAAATAATTTTTGATATTGTCTTTGATAAAACAAAATAATCTTTTGTTATTATTGAGACAAAAAGCATTATTTAATTTTCCACCTTAATTAGAAATAAATTACTAATTTTAATTTGTTCCACAGAAATTTTTTATAAGGTCATGGAAGAACAGCACAGAGAATAATTATGTGTGTCTGCAAGACAGGAAATGTGTTTTGACAAAAGAATCTAGAAAGCACTGTGCATATTGCAGATATGACAGATGCTTACAATTAAAGATGTATCTACCCGGTTAGATATTTATCATACACAGTTCATGTCTGTTTTTCCTTATTTAAACATGTATGTAATTAAATTTGAAAATCTAAATCAGAATTTCGTTTCATTATTATTATTCTTTTGTTCGTCCAGTCTTTTAGCAGCCAGTAATTGAAATTTGAATTTGCACATTGTAAAGTAACCTTAGTGATCACTCATCTACTTTGAATCTGCTTGTCTAAATGGCAATGAATCAACTAACTCATCTATGAATTTGTTTTCAATCTTTTAAATTTAAAATCTATTCATTTACAAGTGCAATGTTGTTGTTGGTGTTTTACCTATGCCTATAAAAAATATTTTAATCGTTTCCTTTCACCTTTGTGGGCAACAACCTAATTTCAATTTGCATAATGAAATAAAATTGTTTTTTTCATTTAATGAGAGTTCTCTTTGTTTTGTAAAAACTCTAATTTGTTATGTACTGTAATATAAATTTGCAAAAATTGTCTAAATTATTTTTAAAACTGCATTAAAAACCAAGGTGGACCAAGGGTATCACAAGAAATCAGCCAGGTTCCATGCAGAATATGTGGCGCTCCATCATCTGGATTTCATTTTGGAGTAATAACCTGTGAGGGATGCAAGGTTTGATGGTAGTTGTTGTTTGTTCTACAACATAGAGCTTTTAGTTGTTGTTTGTTCTGCAACATACAGTTGTTAGTTGTTTGTTCTGCAACATACAGCTGTTAGTTGTTGTTTGTTCTGCAACATACAGTTGTTAGTTGTTGTTTGTTCTGCAACATACAGCTGCTAGATGTTATTTGTTCTGCAACATACAGCTGTTAGTTGTTATTTGTTTTGCAACATACAGCTGCTAGATGTTATTTGTTCTGCAACATACAGCTGTTAGTTGTTATTTGTTTTGCAACATACAGCTGCTAGATGTTATTTGTTCTGCAACATACATCTGGATTTCATTTTGGAGCAATAACCTGTGAGGGATGCAAGGTTTGATGGTAGTTGTTGTTTGTTCTACAACATAGAGCTGTTAGTTGTTGTTTGTTCTGCAACACACAGTTGTTAGTTGTTGTTTGTTCTGCAACATACAGCTGTTAGTTGTTGTTTGTTCTACTACATACAGCTGTTAGTTGTTATTTGTTCTGCAACAATCAGCTGCTAGATGTTATTTGTTCTGCAACATACAGCTGTTAGCTGTTGTTTGTTCTGCAACAATCATCTGTTAGTTGTTATTTGTTCTGCAATGGACAGCTGCATATTTACCATCTTTAGGTTAACATTAATGAATGTTCTTATTTCGTCTGTTAATTGTGGCATGAAACCAAGTTGATCGATATGTGACTATCTAGCTAAAAAGACCATCTGATGCAAACCTGTTTTAGAAATGAAACAACATTATTTTTCATTATTATCATTCTTCTAAAGATTATTTTGGAATTTTTTCAATTAACTTTGCAAATAAATAATTAGCATAGTGTAATAATGTTAATCTTATATCACTAAATAATAGTTTGTAATTCAAAGCTGAAAAAATTATTTTTATCTATTTTAAAAAATTCATTTCATGACTAATGGTTGTTAAGTTTTTTAACAGAGATAGTTGCTAAAAATTTTGGAGAAGCACTACAAACCATTTAATTCATAATGACGTTTTTTTATTCAGGGATTTTTCCGTAGACGCTGCCATGACAACCGATTTGACAAGTTCAAATGTAACGAAAATAATTGCTGTGTCATATCCGCTGCCAACAGGAGCATGTGCAGAGCATGTCGGCTAAGAAAGTGCTTGGACTCTGGAATGGTTGCTGAAAGTATGCGTTATTTTCTTATCCCTCTTTTTAAATATTTTTGTGATGTTTTTCCTTTTTTTAAAAATTGTTATTTAGTTCCGAGCTTTTCCGTTCTTATTGCATGCAATGCCTTAACTTAAAAAAAGCAATTTGTTGTCTCTATTAATTCATTAATATCCATATGCTACTCTTGAAATGCAACAGGAAGAAAGTTTACATGAATACCAGGGTACTGGTTTCAACTTTGAAATTACATTCATTTACATTTACATTTCCTGTGCTGGTCTTACTAACTTCAGATTTATTTTTTATTATGAATAAAACTTCAATGAATTGATGTACGTGAGGTGTTTTGATTTTTATTTTATTAACTTTTTTGAAATAGTTGAACGTTTAACGTTGTTGTCTTGTCTGTGTAGTTGTAAGTTTTTTGTGGTAATGGTTGTTTGGATGTAAATTGTGTTATTCCTATGCATGTGGCTTCCTGATGTGAATGTGTGCTTTGTGCAATATTTTTAAAATATTGTCGTTTCATTGTTCCTTTTTCTTGTAAATGTTGTGTTGTATGCGTTTATAATTGTAAACCAGGGTATAAAAAATGTAATGCATTAAGTAAATATGAAATTAAATTGATAAAGTTGATGTGATGTGAGCATGAGATGACCTGATGCAGGAAATACATGAGAAAAGCATTCTAGCCATTTTAAAGAAATAATTTTTGTGACCTGTTGTGAAATTGATATATATTGTGTTAAAATATTGAATAATAATTGTACATCAACTTTGTGCAGAGTGTCGTATTGGCAGGCAGCCCAACATCGTCATCCACAAAACTAAATTGGAAATGCAAAAAATTCTCAACGAGTCACTGATTAATAATAACAATAAAGATTATTTTCCGACATCAAAAAGTAGCGAGAGCTCAGCGGCACTTTCTTCCAAATTTACGCCTACAACTTCTACCAGTGCACTCATCAACCATCGTCAAGATTCGCTAAAAGTTGAGAACAATTCCCATTACATTCTAAACGACAATGTACATTCTAATGTTGCCCATGATAACACTTTTGATGGCAATAACAAATATGTAACTGGCCCTGTTGCATGTGGTAACCTTTGCTCCCTCCAATCACAATATACTTCTAAACATGTTTCCAATCTTAAAAGATTCATTATGAACAAGCAGGTCTGCCGACATAGCAATGTGTATTCAAATACTTGTACCGAACCAGATCAATGTAATTATTTCTACGATTGTCACCAACAAAAAAATAACAGCGCAACTGTTGATAGACCTGAAATTGGCAGCAAAGATGCATTTGACTATGCTGATAGCATCCAGGCAGGGATTCCTCCATCGTTTTCAAGCACTAACATTACCTCGTTACGATCTCCACATCGGCCTCCTGCACTTCTCAGTGTTGCACATGCAGAGGCAGCATTGCAGACCTCATTGATCTCACCTGGAATACCCGAGGAGCTACCAGCTGTTAAGATTGAACAGGACAACAACAACAACAACACAGATTTCAATGATGGTTACTCTTACAAATATCTGAGTAAAACAATTTTCGGACGAAGCGTTAATGATATCATTGACATTATAGGCAATGCGTTCAACTGTTTAATTCCTATTATTACCAGGGTTAGACCTTGTTTTATTTTTTTCCCTAATTTTGTTCATATGCATCATTTAAATACTATTTACATAATGCTCTGATTATCATATAAGTGGTATAAATTGTAATTATAGATGGTTATTTCTTGTGCACGAATTTTCTGTCTTTTTTTTATCCCTATTTTGTTTCATTTTCACCATTCACCTTTCAGGACAGTATAATATGATGATCACTAATTTATTTCTTATTATTTTTCTTCATCCTTTTGATTGCTGTAATTCTCAATCATGAAAAATTATACATTCATTTAATAAATGAAACATATTTATTTTTTTCAAATAAACATGTGGTTTTCATCTACGTATGGGGTGGGGTTTTCATATATGTGTGTGGTTTTCATCTACGCATGTGGTTTTCATCTGTGTATGTGGTTTTCATCTATGTATGTGGTTTTCATCTGCGTATGTTTTTCCGACATCAAAAAGTGACAATAGTTCAGCGACACTTTCTTCTAAATTTGCGCCTAAAAAACATGCCATGACATCACTACATAGTTGTTGAATTATTCTACACGCAGCATGAAGAACAGACAGTTAATGATGACATGTCACGTTTGGAAGTCTGGCAGAGAGCGATGAAAAGATTTGAAGTTAATGTAAGAGCTTCACTTGCATTTGCAAGAAAAGTTCCCGGTAACTGTTTTATTTTTAAATTGTAACAAAACCATTTTGTTTTATGTTATATATATATATATATATATATATATATAATATATATATATATATATATCTTTTTGTTTTTATTTTAGTCCATTAGAGATTTTCTTTTAAACAGTTAATGACATTAATATATCTTAAATATTATAAACTTAATTAAAGATTTTGGAAATGATTTGATTACAAAGGTTTCAAAGTACTTCCTCTATCATCACAAATTGAGCTGATCCAGTATAGCATGTTTCCTGTCATATTAGGCACAATGTCCCTTGCTTACGATCACGTCATTAAACTGGTCAACTTTTTCATGTGGGACAACAAAGAGAAAGAGGTTGATGTTATTTATTGAAATGTTTGTTCATCATTGTGCAGTTACTCATTTAATAAGTTCTAGTTTTAAACTTTTTATTTGAAATATTAATTTCAGCTGATCCTAACTAATTTCTCTTTCTTCAAATTTATTGAAACGGCAATAATGAACATCGGGGACATCGTGAAGACATTAAAAATTGATAACATTGAATTATCATTCGTACTCTCAATATTCCTGCTAAGTACAAGTAAACAAATTTTTTTTCTTGCCTTGCCATACTTGCATTCGTGTTTTTTTTTAAATATTTAAAAATATTAAACGTACAAACTTTATTGGCATAAAGGTAACAATTTTGAATACAAGGAGCTACTTATCGACGCTTTGAAGTTCTATGTAACCAGTTAGATTTGTTTTACATGAATCATTCTTTTTTAAATTTTCAAAACATCTTTCACTGCATACTTATGAGAATAATACGCTTTTTACTTACACTGTCGTTATTTTACGTTGGATTTGTGGCTTGAGAAGTTACGATCATAATTGATAAATCTATTTGATCACTTGCTCAGGTACATTTGGTAGAGACTCGCAACGCCACAACCAGATCCTCATGACTTTGAGAGCATTAGTGGTGGCTAACCAGAAACACAAAGAGATGATTGTACATGTGAGAAATTTAAAACTGCCCATTCCACAACTCTTCGAAGAAACGTTTATGAGTGACACCATGTCCTTTGGCGTGTAAACTTTTTTGCCTCTGATCATTAAATATTGGGAGTAATAATGTTTAAATAATTATATTGACAATATTACTAATAAATTAATAAAAATAAAGATCCAGCGATACGCTGGTTTCTTATAAGTGCATGTTGTTCGTTGAATGATGAATTTGATAAGTACTTTGTTTAAACGATTTCAAGTTTGTACACTTGCTTTTGAATGGCACGCAATATGCGTAAGGATGTTGCTCAATACGTACAGTACAATTTCTTTTCCTGTTAATTCTAATTCGTTGTTTTTGTAATGGATCACATACTAACAAATGACTTACCTTGGAAAATCCGGTTATATCATAAATTTTTGTATAAATTATTCTGTTAAAAATATATTTTTAAGCGATTGTCATTTTTTCATTTGATATTGTGATAAATTCTATCGGTGAGAAAATTGTTATACTACTCTTGCCTGAGATTTTTCTCAATTTTAATATTTATAAATGAAATAACTTTTATTATTTTTCTATAATATATTTCCTATCCTCGTTTCAACCTTATTCAAAGGATCAATCTTCATTATTATTTTTTTCAATCAGCCAGTTCAAGTTGTTATTGCGCTTTCGAGAGTTATATTTTATTTAGATTGTACAATCAGCATAATGTAATTTGTTTTTGGGTGTTTGTAATGTATCTTCTAAGTGTCTTCAAACTATTTTCTCCTAATCCATATTTCAGCTCATCCACTTTTATTAATTTAATACTTTATTTAACTTATATTCTGCTGTAAAAATGATTTGCTATACGCGCAAAGTTAATTTAAATTAATTAAAATATTATTTTGGTTCAGTGATATTGATGTATTGTATATGAGTTTTGCAATGTTAGTTTTTTGCTTTTGTAATATTACAAGATTGTTTATGTACAAATTAATCATTCGTTTTTCAATATTTTGTTACATTTCAAAATTTGTTTATGTACATGTTGATCACTCAATTATGGCTTGATGTTATTTACCTAATTATTTTTTAATTATCTTTTTCAAAATTAAATATTTTTACCCATCTCATTCATTTTAATACATTGAAAAATAATATTTATCGTTGAAACTTTCTATTTATTTTTATAAGTCGCAGTAACCAAGAGATAAAGTGTTATCATAATTAGAGAAACTTATTGGACGGTAGCCTTTGAAATGGGTTAAAGGCGTTTCACCGACATCCTTAGGGTTTTGCACGTTGAAATTACTCCTTGGCAGCGTCGCATAGTGCAGGTTGTTCCCCGCGTTATTTAATTTGGTAAGATTTCGTCTTTCATTTGTAGCATCGTAGTCATCTTTTATCCACGGTCTGTTCAACTGATTGAAGACATTTGAACTTGCTTCCTTGCTTCTGGTCTGAATTGTTTCGTTTGGCTTCGATGACACTGTCCAGTTCTCAGACATTTCTCGTCTTCTAAGGAACATTTTTTGACCCTTCGAATTTTTATTATCTGGTGACAATACCGATAGCGCTATACTTTTCGCCATCTGGACTTTGTTTCTCATCGTCGTCTTCTCTTCATCTTTTGTATTTTCAAATTCCGATAGGACTGCAAATAATTAATTTTAAAGTGTTAAATAATAACAATGTTACAATTCTAATTTAAACA